GAGATGGGCTCAGAGGGGGATGCATCGATCCCCAATCGATCATCGATCGCCGACAGGAGCCCGATACCCCATCCTGCCCAGGAGAACATTGGGGTGCTGCTATCGGGGACCCATCGCCGATCTATCAGCGATGTCTTGCTGATTCCAGCTCGATGTTTCCGCCCCTGAGCCAGTCCAACCCCTACCGTTTCCATCAGGTCCTGAGGGAGCCCGAGGTTCTTGGCAGTATTCGGGCCCGGATGGCCCTCCACGAGCTCCAGGACTGTCAGAAAACGGATCAGGGTGAACCAGGAGGTAAAAATAGAAACAGACGCATATGATCGTCGATTCCCAGGAAAATAGGGGAAGTGGAGGGGAAGACGAACATTTCAGGCAATGTGGGAAAATGTGCGGAATCTTGGGAGTTCTGTCTATGAAATTGTGTGTCCCTAGGTACCGTAAGTGAAGATCTTGTCATGGGGGAAGGCCCCTTTGGGTCCAGGACTTCCCCCGTCAGGGTATCGCTTCCTTCGTTGCAGGATGGAGATGGGTATATGGGAGCGTCGAGGGGGAGGGGGTGGAGGAGCAGGTATTTCGGAAGGAGAAGGGCGGAAGAGCAGGAGAGAAGGGACAAGGATAAGAGAGCAGAAAAGGAGGAGGGGGAGTATGATGATGCTGCTGCTGATGATGATGACGATGATGACGACGACGATGATGATGCTGATGATAACGTTATTGATGATGCTGATTCTGATGATGCTCATGATGATGCTTCTGACGATGATGATGATGACGATGATGCTGATGCTGATGCTGATGCTGATGCTGCTGCTGCTGATGCTGCTGATGCTGATGGTGATTATACTGCTGCTACTGCAGCTGCTCCTGCTGATGACGATGATGATGTTAATGATGATGAGGAGGAGGATGAGGATGATAATGAGGACAAGGATGCGGATGCGGATGAGGATGATAAGGATGATGATGAGGATGATGAGGATGAGGATGATGAGGATGAGTATAATGATGAGAATGAGGATGTGGATGACGATCAGGATGATGATGATGATGATGCTGCTGATGATGATGATGATGATGATGATGATGATGATGATGATGATGATAATGAGGATGATGATGCGGATGTTGTTGATGATGATGCCGACGGTGATGCTGAGGATGCTGATGATGATGATGATGATGATGAGGAGGATAAATAATATTAATATTAGTGTTATGACGAAGCATGATAATAATACTGATACGGAAAAGGCTAGTAATCATTTCCCGGATGCTAGTACTGTTACTAATAATCACAATAACACGAAAACATATTTCGAAACATAAGAATACACATAATAATACTAAGAGGAAGAGGAGGACGGATAACAACAGTATTCATATGACTCTTATTAACATGATGATGATGAGGAGGATGAGGATGAGGAGGAAAATGATGATGATGCTGATGATGATGATGCTGCTGCTGCTGCTGATGATGATGATGATGATGATGATGATGACGGTGGTGATGATGGTGGTGATGATGGTGGTGGCCTCTCTGCGACGGCGACGGCGACCAGGACGCGAAGCGAACTCTACCCTTACGGGCCCAATCAGTCCTGGGGTATCGGACAGCCTCGCTGGGATTCACTTGGCTGCTGATATCCTTCCAATTCTGAACCCCAGCCGTTTTTCAGAAATCTGACATGCGGTTGCCCAGGGGATTCGGCCAGACTTCCTCAGCGCCGGCCCCGAAGCCCGCAGGAGACTCACCTATCCCCACCCAGGGGGGCAGCAGGTCGCACAGCACGGCCAAGGCTCTCCCAGTGGGGAGGGGGGTAGGTCTAGCAACGCCGAGGTCAGGGACCCTCCCCTCGAGGAAATCGCCCCTCAACCAGGCCCAGATCGCCCCCTCCTCCTTGGTCTGGTCAGGGCTCCCCTCCTCCCTGCCGCGTGGGGCCCCCCTAGGGGCGAGGGGGCTCCCGGGATGGCGATGCGCCGGCGCAGGGCCGACCACGCCGGGTGGGCGTACACACCAGCGCGACGGGCCGCCCGGGGACGATTCACGGGCGATGCCGCGTGGGCGCCCGTGTATTATTCAAGCAGTGGGGAAGCGTCCTAGCTTTATGTCGGGCGTGTCCCCCTACAGGGGGATTTTCGACGAAAAATCGAAAATACCCCCCAAATAGTCAAAACATAATCCAAAAATAGTCTGGGGACTATTTTTTGATATTTTTGGACCTTTTTGGTGTATTTTTGGGGTATTCTTAATTTTTCATCGAAAATCCCCCTGTAGGGGGACACGCCCGACATAATCCTAGCTCTCGCCTATGGGCCTACCCAAGGATCTTCTAAGAACCTTGTGTGGTCTGCACGAAAGGTTCTCAGAGCACTTCTGGCTGAGACTGTCTTGTTTCAACACATCGGGCTTATGTTCTAAGAACATGGTTCTTGTTCTTGGAACATTTCTGGATTCTAAGAACATGTCGTGGCAGGCTTATAGGAATGCCGGGACGGTCTGTCCCTGCTCAAAGTATTGGTGTGCATACACTGCGCATCATTACTCCGAGTTTCTTCAGAAGCGTCGGGGGGGCGTCACCCCCGCCGACAGCCCCACATCGACCCCCGTCGCGGGCAGCCGACGCGCGCCGAAGGCGCTCCGACCCTCGTCGCGGCGCGACGACGAGGCGAGGTTGACCCCCGTCGGGGGGGTACCCCCCCACGCTTAGTAAGAAATCCAGGGTAGGAAGCGCGCATAAGTCCATCTGGTTGCTTTTTCACCCACCGGTTTGTAGACAATCCGCATCCTTGTGACGGCGTTCGATGAGCACGACGCTCCCTGGTGTGCACTGGTTGGATCCTATCGTGGGTCGTGCATGCCCAGCCCGTGGTTCGTTTCTACCACCGACCCGTTCAACCAGGCACGATGCACGACATTTTGGGGAGACCGAGGAGGATGAAGAGGGTGGGAGGATCCAGGAGGAGGAGGAGGAGGAGGGAGAAGGAGGAGGAGGAGGAGGAGGAGGAGGAGGAGGAGGAGGAGGAGGAGGAGGAGGAGGAGGAGGACAGAAACCTCGAGCGATCTCTGCCCGCCTCCTCGTCGTTCGCAGGGCTGGTCTATTGTAGCAGGGTTTTCGCCTGCGATTCCTTAGCGTTCGAGCGCAAACCAGGCGGTCTCTTCGTCCCTCCGCACGCTCCCACACTCCTGCCAAAGGGCTACTGGGCCCTGCTCCAGGTCCCTCCCCCAGCAGGATACGAGTCAACTATTGTAGCTACTGTGATGACCTCGTGCTTTCGGACCGAGGTAACAGATCGAGGTCGGTTCGGGGAGGGTGCCCTGATGCTCTTCGTGTTCGCTGGAAGCTCTTGTGTATCCTGGGTGAGGGTGCCTTTGGACGTTCCGTGTGTTTTGGCCGGTGGAGGGTCTCATGTTCTTGACGGCTGCTCTGGTGTCCTAGGTTCGACTCTACCAACCCTCCTCTTCCTCCAGCGGGCATTCACCAAGGCGGCGGCTAAGCGTGGCCGAGGTCGTGGCCATGATCGCGGCCGGGGCCGTGGGCTCGCCAAGGCCCAGGGCGGTCGGCACGGGAGAGACAGTGTGCTTCGGCCACACCCCCCGGTTTTGGCCAGGGATAGGGAAGGAGCAGGGGGAAGAGAGGGACGGGGGAGCGATGGGGCGACGAGGAGGCGAAGGGCGGAGGAAGGAGGAGGAGGGGAGCAGGAGGCGAGGAGGGGGAAGAGAGGGAAGAGAGGGAACACATGTATGTATATCTGCATGCATGTATGTATGCATATGTGTTTATATATACACATGCATGCATGCATGTAGGTATGTGTGTATGTATGTATGTATGCATGCATGTATGTATGTATGTATGTATGTATGTATGTATGTATGTAGGTATGTATGTATGTATGTATGTATGTATATATGTATGTATGTAGGTCGATAGGCATGTACGTATGTTCATCTGCATGCATGCATGCACGCATACATGCATGCATGTATGCATGCATGTATATATGTATGTAGTTAGGTACGTACGTATGTATGTATTTATGTATGTATGTATGTATGCATGTATACATGCATGCATGTATGCATGCATGCATGCATGTATTTATGTATGCATGTATGTATGTGTGTATGTGTGTACGTATGTATGTATGTATGCATGCATGCATGCATGCATGCATGCATGTATGTATGTATGTATGTATGTATGTATGTATGTATGTATGTATGTGTGTATGTGTGTATGTATGCATGCATGCATGCATGCATGCATGTATGTATGTATGTATGTATGTATGTCTGTATATTTATAGGTAGGTAGGTTGGTATGTATGTATGTGCATCTGCATGCATGTATGCATGCACGTATGCATGCATGTATGCATTCATGCATGTGTGTGCGTACTTCCGTGCGTACGTATGGATATATGTATTTATGTATGAATGTATGTATGCATGTATATGCATGCATGCACGTCTGTACGTATGCATGTATGTTTGTATGTATACATGCATGCATGCATACATGTACGTGTGTACGTATGCATGTACATGTATAGTATACATATACACATAACTATACATGTGTAGTTATGCATGCATTCTTTCTAAACGTACACATACACATATACATATACATATACGTATACATACACACATATACCTGTATACATATATATATATATATGTATAAAGAGAAAGAGAGACGTGGGCAGGAGGGAAGGAACCCCGCCAGGCGGTGGCCAGGCGCGGCCGCGGCCAGGCGCGCGGCCGCGGCCGCGGCAAGTCGACCGGGCGCGCTGCGCCCAAGCGCCGCCCTCGCCGGGTGACGCCCGTCATCGACCTGGAGGACAGCGCCGACGAGGCCACGGCCGGCGACGGCGACGACGACGAGGACTACACCGACTGACGGCGGGGGCCCTCCCGGCGCCTGCCGCCGGCGCGGGGAGGACCTCTCTGGCCGGGCCTCGAGGGTACGCGGCCGGCGGGGAGGCGGCTGCAAAAACAGGGCGCGCGCGTGCGGCCGTGCCGCGCTGCCGGGGCCCTCGCCCGGGGACGACGCGCCACCGCCCGGCAAAGCACCCCAACCCCACCCGGAGGCCCCGAGCTGCCCTCCTCTTCCCGTGGGGGGGGGGGGTCGGGGAGCACGGGAACGGCGCATCTGGGGCCCGCCCCCCCCCCTCTCCCCGCCCGAAAGAAGTCGGGTCCTTCCTCGGGTTGGGTTGGGGTGGTCTGGAAGGCACAGTCGGCCCAGATTAGGAGGTCGACCCTGCCAGCTCAAGGGTACCCTTGTGTTTCCCGTGCCTCGCGACACTGGCCTTCGGATGGAAGGGTCTTGTGTCCTCTCGCGTGTCCTCTCCAATCAAGTCCGACTGTCGTCAGCACGTGACGTGCCCCCCGCCCTCGTCCCTCCCCCCTGGCGCACCCCCTTCCCGCCCCTGCTGCTCGCGCTCCGGCTCCTCCCGCGGCCCGCTCCCACTGTGGGCGCTCCCACGAGCAGGCCGCGGCCCGCTCCTGTGCTCCTTCCGGCCGGCCCGCCGGAGGGAGGCCTGGCCCTGGTCTTAAGAGTCTTAAATCGGGCATGTCCTTCTACAGGGGGAATATCCAAACATAGTTTTCAAAGATAGTCTGGGGACGAGTTACCGACTATTTTGGATCATGTTTTGATTGTTTTTGATTTTTCGTCCAAAATCCACCTGTAGGGGGACATGCCCGACCTAACCCTGGTCCTGGCCCACCTCGTGCTCCTCCACTTGAGCGACGCAGAACAAAAGGGATCGTCTGCGCCGACGTTGGCGCGTGAGCTGCCCGCGTAAGGTCGCGCGTTTGCGCCCTCGGTTCCACTGTGGCGTGCCGCGCTGGCGCCCCGCGTAAGCCACCGTGTAAGGTCGCTGCAATTGCGTCATCTCGCGTAAGGCACGTTTTTGATCGTCGCTCACTTGGCATCGCTCGGAAGTGTGCCTGTTTTCTCGGCGAGGAGCATCGAGGAGCATCCTGGATCACCTGGCAAAACAAGCACGCGCGAAATCGACAATGTACGGGGAACGCACGCCCGAGCGATGGCGAGTCCATCTCCTTTCCATATTCGTATTTCGTCCCTGTCGCGTCCCCAAGCGTGTTGGTAGGGCGGGCCGGGCGTTTCGCTTAAGAGTTTCTCACCAGTCATAGCCCAGAACCTCGAGGTTTGTAACGGTTTCATGGATGGAGGGGTGGTGGTTTTCAACATTTGATTTGGCCGTCGCCTGAGGGCGTCGCGAATTCCTTTCATACTTTTGCAGCAGTTTCGCGGATGGACAGGGGTACCGTTTCAAAATGTGGTTCTCGCCTTGCATGACCCCACGCACATTCGTCTGAACATTTCGAAACAATCTCACGGATGGGGAGCGGCTCCTCTTCTAAATCTGGATCTCGCGTGCGCGCCGCGCCAAATGCCCCCCGCACCGCGCCCCTCGCGGCTTGCAGCCCGGCCGCCCAGTCGCGCCTCGCCACTGGCCCGCCCGCCGCTCTCCGCCTCATGGCCGCGCTCTGCAGCGCCGGTCGCACCGCGCCCTTGGCCCGCCGCCGGCCCCCGCGCCGCGGCCTCCCCCCGCCTGGCGCTCCGGTTCTCTGGCCGCAGGCTGCTCCCCCCCCCCCCCCTGCCGGGCTTCGCCCGCACTGCGGCTGCTGGCCCCGCCCCTGGGTGCGCCGCGATGCCGCCCCGCAACAGCTGCCAGGGGCTGCCCTCCAGCCCGGCCGCCCCCCCGCGCGCCCCCGCGCCCGGCTCCGCCGTCCGTGGCCGCCCTCTCGCTTCTCCCCTTTTCTTGCACGCGGGGGTGAATTCGCGACTCCGTGTCCCGGTCTCGGTCGACCGCGCGAACGGATTGCCTTTGCCGCGCCGCGTCGTAGAAACTGCGCCGCGCTCATTCGTTCCAAGCAATTCAAAAGGTGGCTCTCGCCTGAAGGCCTCTCACGTGGTTCCTGTTCAACATGTGGCTATCGCCTCTAAACCGCGCAACTTTGTTTAATTTTGCGGTAGCTTCACGGACGGGTGGCGGCTTCTTTCTAACATGGGGCTGTCGCTCCATCGCCGCGCGCATTCGTTTTTTCCCTACATCCACAGAGGGGTTCTTGTTTTCTTTGCGCGCCCCACGCAAGATCTCTTTCTCCCCTCTTCTTCACCATCACCATCGTCGTCATCAATCACACACTCACGCATTCACACACTCATCAAGATCATGATCATGACCATCATCTGCATGATTTCCTCAGGCCTGAATATGGAAGGAGTATCAGGCGGAGCCTCGTCTGTGAGTGAATTGCGAGGAAATGGCGGGCGGGAGCTTCGTCTGTGAGTGACTCGCGGGGGCGTCTTGAGCGGGAACCTCCTCCATGTGGGGGCCGCAGCTTATGTTTATAATCCGAGCGGGTCATCCTCAAGGCTCCACAGGCCTGAATATGGAGGGAGTATCACGCGGGAACCTCGTCTGTGAGTGAATTGCGCGGAGCTCTCAGGCGGGAACCCCGTTTGTGAGTGAATTTGGAGGGGGTCTTAGGCGGGAGCCTCCTCCCCGTGGGGCCCGCAGTTCATGTTTTTAACCCGAGCGGGCCGTCCTCAACATTATAAACGTCGTCACTTTTTGGCTCCTCGAGCCTGAATATGAAAGGCGTATCAGGCGGTAGTCTCGTCTGTTAGTGAATTGCGAGGAAGTCTCAGGCGGGAGCTTCGTCTGTGAGTGACTGGAGAGGAAGTCTTAAGCGGGAACCTCCGCGCTATGGGGCCCGCAGCTCATGTTTTTGATCCGGATGGGTCATCCTCGACCTTGTAACAGTCGTCACTTTTGGGCTCCACAGGTCCACAGGTTTGAGTATGGAGGGAGTATCCGGCGGGAGCCTCGTCTGTGAGTGAATTGCGAGGAAGTCTCAGGCAGGGAGCGTGGTCTGGGAGTAAATTGCGAGGAAGTCTCTGTCGGGAACTCCCTGCCTCAGGTCGCACAGGTCCCAAAGGTTTGACCCTTACCACCAGGTCCAACGCAGGCCCCGGGTCGCACAGGTCCTATGGTGTTCTTGCCTCGCGCGCAAGTCCTACAGGTCGCGCGCGCCCCGCAACTCCCACAAATACCAAGGGGCCCACAGGTCCCACAGATCCCACTGGGCCCGGAGGTTCCCCATGTCCCACTGGCCCCGCAGGTTCCGCGGGCCCCGCAGGTTGCAGGTCCCACGGGCTCCATAGGTCTCACAGGTCCAACAGGCTCCACAAGTACTGGTGGTTCCACTGGTCCCACATGTCCCACGGGCCTCGCAGGTCCCACTAGCGCTTTCCAAAAACTGTGTCGCTCGTAAAGAAGATCGGACTTCAGTCGATCTAGCTATCCTCAGAGATTCATTTTCTGCTCGCAGCTCGTGTGCCAGATGGTTGCTTCATCTTTTGATTCCCGAAGACATCCTGACCAAGGCTGATGTGGCCAAGGGCTCAGAGGCTGCTTCGCACCTGCTGAGGACGGGGATTTTGGCCTTGGGCGATGCCGAGGAGGAACGGGATGCCCTGGCTGCCGGTGCCAGGCAGCGCCGGAGCAAGGAGGCCAGTCGACGCTGCATGGCGGCCAGGGACCTCCGTTTGCAGTCTCTCGGACGGCCAGATCGACAGCAATTCAGGGGAGTCGTTGGCACACGTTCCTGCGACCTCTCTCTGTCTGTCTGTGTTGTCGATACTCTTGCACCCTTGCTTTGCGCACCCATGTATGTGTATTGCTGGACTATTGCTGATTTGGCTCCAGCCTTCTTGACTGACAGTGAACAACTGATAGCGCGGAACTTCGTGATTGTCCGCCCGACCCCCGCGTGCCAGCAGTGCCCTTCTCCCGCCTCTCATTGTCGTGCGTCCGTGCGGTGGAGGCCCGTGCCAGGAAACACCCCGCTTGCCTCCAGGTGTCCTGGGTTGCTTGGGTTCCGATGGTCTTGCCATGGACAGCGTGACTCAGGAGGGAAAGAAACACACAGACACAATTAATCGTCGAGTCCCAGGAAAGTATGGGAAAATATGGGAAGTGGGGGGGAAGACAGAAACCCAGAAAATATGGGAAAATATGGGGAATCCTTTTATTTGTGTGTATTTATTTGTGTGTTTGTGGGCCCCTTCAGTGACGTCCCCGCGCCAAAAAACCAGGGGACGCCCAGGGGTCTCGGGGCGTGGTTTCTCGTGGAGGGTCTCTTGTGGTCGGGCCCCGGAGGAGGAGGAGGAGGAGGAGGAGGAGGAGGAGGAGGAGGAGGAGGAGGAGGAGGAGGAGGAGGAGGAGGAGGAGGAGGAGGATGGAGGAGGAGGAGGAGGAGGAGGAGGAGGAGGAGGAGGAGAGGAGGAGGAGGAGGAGGAGGAGGAGGAGGAGGAGGAGGAGGAGGAGGAGGAGGAGGATGAGGAGGGAGGAGGGGAGGAGGAGGAGGAGGAGGAGGAGGAGGAGGAGGAGGAGGAGGAGGAGGAGGAGAGGAGGAGGAGGAGGAGGAGGAGGAGGAGGAGGAGGAGGAGGAGGAGGAGGAGGAGGAGGAGGAGGAGGAGGAGGAGGAGGAGGAGGAGGAGGAGGAGGAGGAGGAGGAGGAGGAGGAGGAGGAGGAGGAGGAGGAGGAGGAGGAGGAGGAGGAGGAGGAGGAGGAGAGGAGGAGCCGCCGCGACTCCCGCGGTCGCCCTCCCCCCCCCGCCGCGCCGCGCGCGCTGCTCGGGGCCGCCGCCGTGGCTCGAGCGCGGCCAGGCTGCCCGGGGACGTAGGCGTCCGGGGCAGCTCAAAGCCTCGAGGGCTTGACGACTACTCCAGATTTCGTAATAAAAGGGAGGGGGTCACAATCCTCCCAGACCACAAGTTTTAGACCCCCCCAGACCATCCACGAAAGAGCGGCCCTCTGCCCAGACCCCCCCCGAACCCTCAAGACAGCTCAAATCAGACCCCCCCCCCCCAATGTGACCCCCACCACTTTATTGTGGAATCCAGTGTAGTCGCCAATCGACTTGTGGGGATCGGGCCAGACAGGTCCAGGTGA